GATGAAATCTTAGAAAATTATGTAATGTACAGGCAATGAATTTTTTCCATGCCACATTTGAGTTAACATAGTCTCTTCTTATTGATAGGAAAGATTCGAGGTGATATTAACAGAAGTGGATATAATAGGGCTTGGATAAACTCTAATTTCCCCTTTTTCTTGTCACTTCTTCCATGACTCTTGTTTCTAATTGCTCTGTTTAATTAAGAGAGTATATTTGTTTTTGCTCTTGTTTTGCAAGATCTGACACACAGATCATGTCTGTAACAACCTGGAATATGTGACATCACACACATAGGAAAAAGCTGTGGGCCTAACTACTCAGAATCTAGAAATTCTTATCAGACTAGTGATGCTTAAAGTGTAGTCCCTGGACCAGCAGCAACAGCATCACTGGGGAAACTGTTAGAAATGCAAAATCAGAGCCCTGGAGATCAACTGAATCAGAAATTCTGGGTTGTAGCCCAACAATCTGTACTTTAACAAGTCTTCTGGGTGACTCTAATGCATGCAAAGCTTGAGAATCGCTGACCCAGACTCAGAGCTTCTTGATCCAGATATCTGCATGTGCGCATGTCCAGCCCTTGTGTTTCTAGCATTAATTCTTTTTCTACTTGCCAAGTCCCTTTACTTGAATGTCTTGTCTTTTCTTTTTTTTCTTTTTCTTTTTGTATAAGCATGTCAGCCTCTTCTTCTCAATTGTGTGGAAACACTGCACTTTTATGTGGGAGGACAGAAGATGGGTAGGATTCATCATATATAATACACATATATACACATCATATATAATGTATATAGAATTTAAAAATATTCACTTAAGGCTCCTTTTACCAAAATGCCTCAGTGGCACCAGAGTCTTGTCCCGCAAAGCAAATACTTGGGAGAGCTGGAGGGAGGGGTGGGGTGTTTTGTACAAAATGAAAGGGTATCAACAAGCGTGGCCTATAAGATCACAGTGACTGCAGTTTTTAGAAAGGTAGTTGCCAATTTATTTTTAATTATTTTAATCCTCAATGCCAGTGTGGAATCAAATTGTCATTCACCATAATAGAAGACTTAAGTCTGAATCTGTACACAAGGCATGCTGTGGAGTACACATATGAATTCCTCTTTTTTTTGCTTAAATTCATTACATAACGTTTCTTAAACTTGAGTAATCTATAAATTCATTTTCAAAGGAAAAATTATTTTGAAACTAATACGACTTACAGACCCAGTGCCTAGATGGAAAAACAATGATTTAAAAAATTAGAGTTCTTCTATAAAAAGGGTTTTTAATTGGAAATTTCTCTATCAAAGAAAACTTTTATGTTTATTCCTACAAAATGTATTTTAATTCACTAAAATGAAAATATATAATTAAAACATCTCATGGATTCCCGGAATGTGTGTGTGTGTGTGTGTGTGTGTGTGTGTGTGTATATATGAACTTAATATATGTATAATACATATATATATATGTGAACTAAAGTCTGCGCACCTGGATCTGAGAAACATAGTTTTATACTAATCTAAACCATAACTCTGAATTCTAAAAAGCATCTAAAGTAAAAGTGAAATGTGTGACCAAGAATATTAAAATAATAAATGTCATTTTGTAACAACTATCAGAAAACTTGAAAAGTATTTCAGTTCATATTTTGAAGCTGATAAATATTAGCTCTGTGGTTAAAATTGCCTTAAAACTCAAATACCCAATTTTATTTACACAGATAGCCAAAGTCATTTGTTAGCTTGAAACATATCTGAACAGTACCTGAAGTCATCCTTTTGAGAGCCCTTTACCTGTACTATCCAAGATATGTACCTCATCACAATTTAGAGGATATTCAGAAATGGAAATTCCATAGTTTATAACACAAAAAAGAATTAGCACTCAAAATATTTATGCAAGGAAATATTAATAAAGACAGTATCTGATAACATGTACATACCCAAGGGATAATATATTTTAATGAAAGGCGGGAGGGACAGCTCTCAGATTTTTACAGTGTCACCCACTCTGCTTATGTGCTAAACTTTGTTGACAGCAGCAATATCCTTGTTGACTCTTGCAGGTGTACTTTAAACCAAACAATCTGTCTCAAGAAGGATGTGAACCATCAAGCTTGCAGAATGGGCATGGCTCTGCCAGATTTTATCTATCTGAAAGATGATATGGCTTATTCCCTGCATGGAATAGGAAATAAAAGGTGTAAAATAGGAAGTTCTACTGTTTCAAAGTTTCATTTGGGTTTCTGTGGATTCTTAAGCAAGACATGCAGATAGGTAAACATAACTATCCATAACATCCAAGCGAATATGAACAATTTTTATCTCAAATACCTTAACCCCACTGACTTCTCAATAAGCACAGAATTCAGGGCTGCAATGGTATGAATGGTCTGTCTACATTTGTTCTGTCCAATATAGCAGCCACTGGCACATGCATCTAGTGAGCACTTGAAATGTGGCTACTGGAAATGAGGAACTGAATCTTTTATTTTATTAATTTAAACAAATTTAAATAGCCACATGAGGATAGTGGCTACTATGCTGGACAATGGAGAAGATAATCTTTTTTAAAACATGACTTTCTACATTTACCTTTACTTTTATTAGGCTATCCTGATATTAAAATAACTTCTTATTTAAAAAAGGATTCTTTCAAAATTAAATTCTTTTTTTATTCAAAATTATTTCTTTTTGTTTTCTCTTCTACTCAGTGACATACTTGTGAAAGCCTTTTGAAACAGTTTCAGAAAGCCTGACACTGTTGTCTTTGTTAAGCTAGGTAACGTTAAGTCACTTAGATATTTTAACCTTTCCTATCTTTTATGTTCCCTGCTCTTTTCCACATTCCTCAACTTTCTAGATATGTGAAGTCAAAATAAGATTCAATATATACTGAATAAAGCAATGGGGTTGCATGGAAGAGGAGGAAGGAGAGGAGAGTGACGACCTTTTAAGAATAGTTTTAAATTTCGGGAAAAGTTGCAAAGATAGTCAAGTTCCTATATATCTTATAACCAATTCCCTCTATTTTTAACATCTTACATTACTTTAGTATGGTGCATTCAGCACAACCTATGAACCAATATCGATACATTATTGTGAACTAAAGCTAATATTTTATTTGAATTTCCTTAGTTGTTACCAAATATTCCTTTTCTGTCCCAGAATCATCTCATCAGAATACTACGGTGCTTTAAGTTGGCATGTCTTTTTTTTTCTTTCTTTTTTTTTTTCTGTGAGATGCAGTCTCACTCTGTCGCCCAGGCTGGAGTGCGGTGGTATGATCTTGGCTCACTGCAACCTCCACCTCCCACGTTCAAGTGATTTTCCTGCCTTAGCCTCTCAAGTAGCTGGGATTACAGGTGCCTGCCATCACGCCCAGCTAATTTTTGTATTTTTAGTAGAGACAGGTTTTCACCATGTTAGCCAGGCTGATCTCAAACTCCTGACCTCAAGTGATCTGCCCACCTTGGCCATCCAAAGTTTTGGGATTACAGGTGTGAGCCACCACACCTGGCCAACATGTCATCTTAAGCTCCTCTAAACTATGAGAGCTTTTCAGACTTTCTTGTTAACTTGCTTTTAATTAGAACTATTGGGGTTGAGCAAATTTATGACTGAGTACTAATACTTGAGGAAATAAGAATAAAAATAATTTTAAGATTAAACAGATGATATGTCACCAAAATCCTGGTAAGCATTCCATGACAGAGACCTTTACAAATAACAGCAGTCATTCTGGGTCATGGAAGATATCCTTGGGATAGTCTTCTAGATGAAAGTAACTCCTGGCTAACTACCTATGAGGTGTTAGCCATTCCCTAGTGAGTAAGAATCAACCCAACAATAATGCAACTTGAGTTTTATGTCCAGTTCATTGAAGACAGCATATGAGATTTGAGATAACTTTTGCCTTCCTCCTGCTACCCCACCCCTACACACATACAATAAGTGGTCCATGATTTTATCAGGAATGAAAATTAAATTTATCTGGAATAATTTATTCTTTAAAAACTAGTCTTTGGCTACTTAGTAATTTGAGTTACTCTTTACCAGTGCAATGGCAATTGAATAATTGTGTTACTGCATTCTTATACATTGAAGTTGATCATTATAAATATTAAGTATCTCTGATCCTTGTTGGATCTACAAATCAGTTACTGGCTCTTAAAGTGTGGGAGTTACAATGAATCTTAGAATGCACACTATTTGAGGCTGGGCGTGGTGGCTCTCACCTCTAATCCCAGCACTTTGGGAGGCCGAGGTGGGCAGATCACGAGGTCAGGAGATCAAGACCATCCTGGCTAACATGGTGAAACCCCGTTGCTACTAAAAAAATACAAAAAATCAGCCAGGCATGGTGGCAGGCGCCTGTAGTCCCACTTACTTGGGAGGCTGAGGCAGGAGAATGGTGTGAACCTGGGAGGCAGAGCTTGCAGTGAGCAGAGATCGTGCCACTGCGCTCCAGCCTGGGTGACACTGTGAGACTCCATCTCTAAATAAATAAATAAATAAATAAATAAATAAATAAATAAATAAATAAATGGAATGTACAGTATTTGAGCCAACTGTGGATCCTACTTTTTAAAGTATACCAGCTTTAGTCAAGTCATTGCCTTCCTAATCATGGTCTCACTTTCCATCTTCTTTTTATAATAGTTGAACTTCTTAAGCCAACATTTCCTTGTTATTGCATGTTTATATGAGAAGCAGGGAGGTTTAAAGGTTCAGTTTTCCTTGGTTCTTTGCTTTCATTGCACATAATTTAAGATACATTTCCCCACTCTTCTTAAAATGGCTCCATGTCCTTAAAAGTATGCTAATTGTCCTCTATAATCTCTTTCAGTTTCTACAACTAGTGAAAGAAAGTTCTAACTTACCTTAAAAAAATCAACTTAAATATTACAAACTGTGAATAGTAGAACTTAAGAACTGGAATCAACTTCCACATTGTCTGGTACATGCACTTTCTTTGATAAGTGAGAAATATGAAACTCAATACTTACTAAATGGCATGAAGTTTGTTAGCAGAAGAATCAATTCCAGAATCTAGGTATCGTAGGTCTAAAATATAAAGTGTGGAATGATTGCACTGCACACTGCCTCTTCATTTCATCTAAAGCATGTTTACTGAAAAGGAACTAGTCCCTAAAGTTCCAAGAACACTTTTCTAAAACGGTCTGACCTTTTAGACACAACAGGGACTATGCAGGCATAGAAAGACAGTATTGGGTATACATATTAAAATTAACAGTTTATCTCCAAAATTAAGCCTTCAGAGTCTCCTTTAACATAATATATCATCTGGCTCCTTTTGTCCCTCTACCCAGTCCTTCCAGACCATTTCTCTTCTACCTTCTTCTGAAATACATCACCTTTTATGATTCTTGCTATTGTGGTATACATCTTCTTATGGCACTGCAAAACAAGCACAAGATCTTACCTCCTCACTACAGCCAACTACCTCTGGACTCCTTTTCTGGGATAGCCTCAATTCTCTTTAGCAGTAGGTGAGCAAATGATGGGAGAACAGCTAAGGGATCAGGCTGACACTATGACAAGCCCCATCTCATCTGCCATCACCCTCTCACCTGCAAGACTGTGAATTGATTTGCTCTTCTAGAATTCGTGCTTCTATCCTTTTGTTCATGCTGCTCATTCTTCTTTTCTACTTTCTATCCTATAATTTGGCAGCTACCTACATATTATTCAGAATTCAGATAAACCATTACCTCTCTGTGTTTCTGCCCCATCTTTCCCCTCCCCAGAGCTACATGCAGCCTCTTTGGGGCTCCCGGAGTCCATTGTATATAACTCTATTATAGTACTTGTTATACAGTAAAATTATACCTACATATATGTTCCCCTCTCATTAGACTCTGAGCTCCCTAACAGAAAGAAAAAAAAAATGCCCTATTAGTTCTGGTATCCTTATCAGCCTACCTAGCAGAGAATACGCTATAATAGTAACATATTGTTTGAATATATGGCATGTGCCAGACACTATGCTAAGGTACTAACTGGAATTATATATTCCTCACAATGACCTTAAGCAATAGTGCTATTATTACGATCACTTTGCAGATTACAAAATTGAAATGCAGAGAAGTTAAGTAACTTGCCCATGTTCACATATCAATTAAACTTTAGAATTCAAATACAAGTCAAAATCTAAGGCCATTTTCTTAAGTGTTTTATTGCTTTTTTGAGGAGGGGTCAATAAATAGTTGTTGAATGGACAAATACCTGAATGTGAGTGAATGAATGGAAATAATCCTATACTAAAGCAAATAATACTAAGGATTTTAAACACTTCATTAAACTGCTTTCTTAATACAGGCTGGAATGGTCCTTGGAGTTCATGTAGCCCAAATTCCTCACTTTACAGAGGAAGAAATAGGTTCCAAATGATACCACAACTTTTCTCTTTACTTTTGACAATATTGTATATATATTTATCTTTTTCAAAATGTGACTCCTGGCGGCCATGAACAGTGGCTCATAATTGTAATCCCAGCACTATGGGAGGCTGAGGCAGGAGGATCTCTTGAGTCCAGATGTTCGAGATCAGCCGGGGCAGCATAATGAGACCCTGTCTCTTAAAAAGATAAAAGTGACTCCTTAAGACAGAAATACATACAAGGCAAAGGAACACATAATGACTCTACGCCTGGCACAATTTTGAAGCATACTGAAGGGCAAATATGTTTTCAAATATCTTTGTGTCTGTGTATGTGTAAAACTTTAAGGAAGAGTGTGGACATTCACTGGGAAGTTCATCAAAGTAAGTTTCCAAGGGACGCATCATGCATTGGAATCACTTTTCCTACTGGCTTCTGAAGAACGCTGTGGAGAATGCTAGAATGACTGCTGTGAATAAAAGTGCCTGAAACCAATCCAGAAACACTCTTTTTTCTTCAAAAGACAATTCTCACTAGTCCAGCCAGGAAATGTGGCTTTGAATAAGGAAGGCAAGTGTGAGTTGGCTCATACTGGATTGGACATATCCCAAGTGTATTTCCCATGAAGTTGCAGTTTGGCCTTGTTTTCAGGGTCTGGTGCGCTAAGGGACCAAGACTGCGAATACTCAGAGACCTCTGGACAAAACTTATGGCAGACACCAAATTATTTCATCTACTTTCTTTTCCTGTTGCAATCTTTTGCTAAAACAACAACAACAACAAAAAACAAACAAACAAAAAACAGGTTAAAATGAAAATACTGTGAGTTCACTTTAATGGAAAAGGAATTTGAGGATATGAAAATCCCATTTGTTTCATTCTCTAACGATAGAGCATTTCCTAAACTGAGTACAAATTCAACTTCATATTTTGGGATATGATATTTGATTCTAGTGTGTTTTAATTACTATTAGCAGGAGCATAAAATAATAGGCTATAGCCACAGGCGATCCAGTAATCCAACACAACAAGTATTTATTAAGCTTTGTCTATGCTGGAGGAGATATAAAAGGAGGAGTACGTGGCAAAAGTCATGCACTTCAAGGAACAGACATGCAATCTTGTTATGGAGAAAAGACACATCCAGAAAATAATTACAGAACAGGACAGTTTAAAATGGTTTAAATATAATCAAATAAGTTACCTTTACAGTCATGGCTTATAAGGAGAGACTTTGAGGCAGAAGTAGGATGAGACCTGCATTGAATGATTGCTTTTATAGGTGAAAGTGAGAATTTTTTTAAAAGGCGTTCTTGTTACAGTAACAATGTGAACAGAAACAGAAATATGAAATAGCATTCATTCAAGTGTTCATTCAACAAATATTTGCTGAACACCTGTATGTATAGGGCCTTGTGTCAAGTGCTAGCATGACATTTCTTCTTACTTTTCAGAGAAAGTGAAGAGACCATGCTAGCAGGAACAAAGGGTACATTTTAGCTATATGACTTTGGATGAGTCACTTAACCTCTTTGAGCCTTAGTTTCCTCCCTTGTGAAATGAGAGGATTAGCCACCAGTGGTTTTCAAAGTTTCTTCTTCTTCTTTTTTACTTTTAGCAGTGAAACTCTTTTCTGTTCTAATGAAACCTTAAGCACAACCCAAATATATTAAGGCACCATATTGGATCTGCTCTGGCTAAAGGGAGACATATAGGTTGGAAGAAAAGATAGCCTGAATATGCCTTTTGTTGAACATCTTTCTCCCTCTTCCTCCCCAGTCCATGCCTCAAAGCCTCCAGGATTACAAGTGAAATAGTTTTTAAAACAATTAATCTTTCTGAATCCTCAATTCTCTTCTACTCATAAAGTGTTGCAATAGGAAATATGAGATATCAGAAGATTAGTTTTGTAAATAGAGTTTGATTACAAAAATCCTGAATTCTAGGATGCTAAAACAGTGTAAGTTCTTAAGTGAAATGACAAAATTGTTGTTTCAAAGACTGCTGTTCGAAAGTGTCTGGTAACACCATTTAAGAGGGACTGGAAGAAGAAAACTAGATATTAAGCTATAAAGGCCTAGGCTAGGCTAGCATTACTGGGGATAGGAAGGGTCAAACCAATACAGCAGAGGGAGAATCTGCAGAACTTGGTAAGATTAAATAGAGAGAAAGGAGACAAAGAAGGAGTCAAAAATAGCATTCCAGCTTGTAAATCCAATATGGTACTACAGATAGATATGGGAAGTAGATCTCAAACTAGGTGCACATTGGAATTGCCTGGGGAGCTTTAAAAAATACTGATAACTGATTCTCACCCCCTGGAGACTCTGAATTAATTGATTAGGGGTGCAGCCTGGGCATTCAGATTTTTAAAGCTCCCCGGGTAATTCTAATGTGCAGCCAAGGTTGAGAACCACTGAAAGAGAAGGGCAGGGAGTAATGGCAGGCCTAGAGCACATGTTTTAATCAACTATCTTCTGCCGTTTTTATGGTCTAGCTAATTCTTTGTTAAGGTTGTTTTTTCATACTCTGCTTAATATTAAACACCAATCATGTTACTACAAAGTTATACATAACATGATTTTTCCTGTATCATCCTGTCAACATATCTCTATGGGATTTGCAAAGAAGACGATCTCTGTGTTTTTCCAGTGTTGAAAATCAATGATAAAATCTCCACTAATGAGAAATGTGTGTTTTTAAGTATGTGTGTAAATGCTATACTTCAAGAGTTTTCCTTTATCATACATCATTACAGGATCATTATGATGTTTGTCCAAAAACTATCTTTACACACACGCACACACACACACTCTTCAGAGACTTGTAAACAGTATATTATTCAGGCATTCCTATCTTGAAATACTATTTAGTATCTATAAAGGTATTACAAAAAGTCAAGAGAAGTTCAGCATTTACTCTGCCTAAACATAGCAAAAGCAAGCGAGATGAAATTTTAAGTCACAGCAGTCCCTAATATTTGCATAGCCTTTTTGTATTTTTAAAATCCTCTACAAATATTATCGAGCTAGATTCTAACAATAGTTCTATTATTTGATCATAACAGATAGTCTAATTTTGTATTCCTGGATGAGGAAATGGAGACCCAGAAGTTAGGTAACATGTCCAAGTCCCAGGGATAGAATTTAACCCATCAGATCTCAGGTCTTTTCTTCCCTCGCTTGGTTCTCCATATTCTCTTTCAAGAACACAATCTAGTTTTCAGGTATATGTCCCCACTTTAGGCTCTCAGAGGGAGAGGTACATGTTTATCCACTCAAAGTGATCACTTTCTCCTCCATGAACCACAGGGCTTTATCAGTCAAATATAATAAAAACATTATTTTCTACTTTTATTAGAACTATGAAATGCTTATTTTCATAATTGAACTGTCAGTTTCTTTCTTTTCTTTTTTTCTTTGCAAGATGGAATCTTGCTCTTGTTGCCCAGGCTGGAGTACACTGGCACGATCTCGGCTCACTGCAACCTCCGCCTCCCAGGGTCAAGCAATTCTCCTGCCTCAGCTTTCGGAGTAGCTGGGATTAAGGTGCAAGCCACCATGCCTGGCTTTTTTTTTTTTTTTTTTTTAGTAGAGACAAGTTTTCACCATGTTGGCCAGGCTGGTCTCGAGCTACTGACCTCGTAATTCACCCGCTTCAGCCTCCCAAAGTGCTGGGATTACAAGCATGAGCCACCGTGCCTGGCGAACTGTAAGTTTCTTGAAGGTTGGGTCCACGATGACTGTAAGAGTCATATTTCCTGTTCCATAAACACCTAACAGTTGCATTTACTTAGCTAGGTATGGGACTATACTCTCTCATTGCTATCTCCTTTTTTACAATTAGACTTTTAATTCAGAATCAGAAATGTTTTTCAAATTAATCTGTACTCCTTGTTCTACCCTTTTGTAATGAGTTGGCAACAGCTCTTCAGATAAAGAAAAACTGTTAATATATCTTCCTGGAGGTCTCTCTTCCTATTTCCAAAACAATTTTCTAAGTTACTTTAATAATCTCTCAAACAGAAGTTTTTCAGATCGATCACTTTTTCTGACATCTTCTAGACAAATACATGTTTGACTATGTTCCTCTTAGGGCGTAGGCACTCCAAGACAAAAACCATGACTTCAAAAGTGATATGATCTGTGTAGCATTCAGAGGAACTACTACCTCCCATGGTAGGGGCTCATGATTTTAGATTAAGGTTATGTTAGCATTCACAGCCACCACAGCTCATCAGTCAGAAGGCTGAGCTGGACTTCTTCTAGGTCAATATTAACGATCTTGCAGCATCGTTATCTGAAGTAAATGGAAGAATACTTTAATTTGTATATCTGAGCTCTTCAAATAGTTTTTCCTAAGACATGCAGTACAATGCTACTGGAGGAATAACTAGGAAGCCAAACCCAGGTGTGCTCGCCGATAAACTGGCTTTCATTATGGATATTGAAAGAAAACTTCACTTTCTCAGCAATGGGTTTCTAGAACTGCATTAAAGACACGTGGCATAAACTGCTAAGTGAACATATCATGAAAACATCTGAAGACAACAATAAATTTTTTTAAAAGCAGGTTTATAGAAAAAAACACATGCAAAATCTATGAAGGGCACAAAACTATTTGGGAGAGTCATCAAATTTGGACTTCGTCAATTTGGCATTAAGCCTCATAACAGCTTCTCAATCAGTATATCCAAGGAGATTATTGAAATAGTACAAAAGCAATGACTGAGAAATGGTGTCAGAACATTTTTTTAAATAATGAGAATTCTAACAAGTTATCTTTGAAGTTTAGAATAGATTGCTTCAATTAGAAAAAGATGGGTATCCATCACCCCACCCTGTCATATTCTGACATAAATAAAAGGAGGATGAATTTTAAATTACCTCCACTCATGGCAGTTTTATCCTAGACAAAGTTCTTGCCACAAAACAGAGGGTGAAGGACTTGTAGTAGAGCTGTAATTGCCATAATGTTGATTAAATGTACACTTAATGTGGGGAAAAGCTTTTCTGTGGCATGGCAGAGTCTTTCTAGTGCTATTTAAAAACTCTTCAAGTACAATCTTCTAAAAGTGGTACTTTGATGAGCAGTGCAACAACATACCTGAAGTTTCATTGCTATATAAAGCAGAGTTGGGAACTGTAAAGCAGTGACAAGTGTGGGCGAAACTGCCTTATATAGATGATCACATTACACATATATTTCTAGTTAGGAACACACAAGAACACTAGTTTTATTTTATACTTACAACTTGGTTTTGAGACCAAATATTATCAATTTTATTGAATCAATTCTAACAGTATCTCATTTACTAGGCCTGGCTCCCAGTGACATTTAGCTATTTTCCCAAATCATATACCTGTATACACACACACACACACACACACACACACACACATATACATATATATATATTTTTTTCCTTTTGAAGTGATAAGTGTTACCAAAATTAAAGATGATCAGAAGAAAGCCATGAGACAGAAAGCACTTCCCAAGCAGGAGGCTAAGTGTGCTTTGAAGGGCAGAAGACATACGTATTTGTAAAGAGTGTTATTATTTAAAATAATTAGTCATTACTTAATACTTACACATTTTATATTATGATGTATGTGTGAGATTGTGTACATACGCACACACACACACACGCACAGCTACATGCTTCCAGAGACATCTCTTTTGGTATTATCAAAATGATAAAGTTTAAATCATGATTCTCAGAGGCATTTGGAAGGGCTAGAGGAAGAAAGAAACAGAATGGTATTCAAAGCCATAAAACTGTGTCAGGGGATCGCTAACTTCTTCTCCTCTGCCCTCCAAGCCCACCCTAGATTCTTCTAGATATCCTATCGAAGGAGTGGTGTCTAAACTTTTTAAATGAGTACTAGCACTAGCAGTAGCCAGCAAGACAAACAAAACCTTTCTCCAGAGCGGTGGAGAAGAAACAGTAACTGAAAGCTCAACCACTAGGCTTTGAGGGCTAGTTTAGAGAGCAGAACACACTGTCAATTGACACTTGCCTTTGACAATTTGAGCAGAGTCGGGTCACCTGACCTCAGGCCTCATACACAGCTTAGTAAACTGCATTGTTCCCCAAAGAATAATTTATCTTTCCCTTTTCAGAGTGCTAGACTTCACTCCAAAATGAGGTAACTGAGACTGGTCAACTGACTTCACATGAAAGAATTACTCTTGAGGAAGACAGTCAAGAATAGAGAATTTAGTCACAAAGGCAATTAGTTTACATTTTATTCTACTTGTCATTTGATTAAGTACACGTTTACCTAGGGAACAAGATGTTTTGCATTGCAACTAACAATGCAAACTTAAATTTTAAAGTATATATATATTTTTATCCTAATGCCAACTCATTTTTCATAATCTGTTTTTAGTAAAATTCCTGTTTTTCAAAGTAAAAATAAAAATGAATAGTAACATGCAAAGTTAAATCAAGAACGATTGTCCTCACATATCTTGGGTCCCAAAGACCAACATTCCTAAACAAAGGACCACAAAAAGGCATCATCCCTGAGAGTTAAGTTAGGAGTTAGTACACAGATGCTTAACAAAGTGAAGTATTAACTCTCAGGAAAAACTGTATTACACGGCAACTATATGTCACAAAAGAAACGTTCAATAAATCTCTAAGGATGTATTTTACTAGTCTCCATTAACAAAATGTGCCAGAAAATACCAAAGCACACAATTCACTTCACAAAGAAGATACATGTATATATACGGCATTCACTCTTTACTGAAGTAAAGCGTTTTAAAACTAATGTCTTTATGCCCGTGCCTGCTTATAAAAGATACTCTATGTAAAAGAGCCAGGAGATCCATCACCAGTGAAATGAGTATCCAATGAGACCTATGGTGTTCTCAGAATGTGGGAACTCAGGAATTGAAGACGTGGTCTTAGGTCTGACAATCACATTATAAAATAGCAAACAAAATGAAGACATAATCTAATTGAGAGCTATATTGAATGTAACAGACAAAGTGGTGGAAAAGATAAGAAGTGAAGGAGATCAGCAGCCTAAAACAGTTACATGTAAGATCGTCAGATGAGCCTTGATATTGGCATTAAAAAATGACAAAGACTGCAATGAGTAGACAAAGGCAAAAATCGAGAAATGTGTGTACAGTATATCTATGGGGAAGTTAAAAAGAAATAGCTGCTTAGATGGAAGATGAGACCAGGTTATCATAGTTTTAGAAGAGGAGTTTAAACTTCACGCAGTGAATGTTGGGAGCTACAGAAGGCTTGAGAGTAAGAGGGAGACAACATGAATGCATTGTTTGTGGACTACCCAGCCGAGATAATTCAAAGTTGATCGCAAGAGGGAGAACCTAAAGCCAAAGTTAACAACTCTAGATTCCTCCTTTATTCAACAAAATTGGATAGTAAATATCAGATAGTTTCGGTCATGTTTTTGGTAAAGGACAAGCAGGGTCTAACAATTATTTGTAAAGCGAATAGCATATCGGATAATATACAACAATGAGGCCAGGTGCAGTGGCTCATGCCTGTAATCCCACCACTATGCAATGCCAAAGCCGGCAGATCTCTTGAGCTCAGGAGTTCAAGACCAACCAGTTCAAAACCCTATCTCTTGAAAAAATACAAAAATTAGCAGGTGTGGTGGCACACACCTGTAGTCCTAGCTAGTTGGTAGGTTGAGGTGGGTACAACACTTGAGCCTAGGAGGTCGAGGCTGCAGTGAGCCATGATTGTACCACTGCACTTCAGCCTGGATGATGAATTGAGACCTTATCTCAAAAACAAAAATGAACACACACACACACACACACTCACACACACACACTCACACAGTGAGATTATGAGAGGCTGGAGCAAAATCATAGTTCTGGCATCAAGTCTTTCAAATAACATGGTAGAGACAGAGCTCTACACTGCAAGTTTTAAAGTGACGCTCATCTCCTCATGACTGGTTTCATAGATACCACATATATTTGTTGATCCATATCACATATATGTCTTGATCCACATGTGGTTCAACTTTCAATATAAGTTCTCAATATTTTATCTATACCTACTGAAATGCTTGACTGACTATCAGGCATGCCTTAGACAAATCAGAAAATAAAATTTTAATTTTAACAAAGTAAATATATGCTTAACAAAGAAAGGGATCAAACAATACCATAAAATGGAAATTATCAACCTTTTTTAAAAAACAGTAGAGAATTTCAATCGAGTAGTGTTCAAGTATTGAGTCAATCTGAATTACACAGAGCCTTGACCAATATTTATTGCTACATGTTTTAGAAGCAATTTCCATTTTGATGGGTTGCTTCAAAAGTGGTATTCTGAAGCAGTTAGGCAACATAAAAATATAGGATCAAGATTATGTCTGTCAGATGAAAAATACAGCATTTATGCAGCATTATATAATCCATTCGCTGGTTTATGAGCCCAAGGTCCCCATGG